GGGGGGGGGGGGGGGTCCACGATGAGTCATGGTCCACGTGTCGGGGCGGGCCGCGCACCCAACTCGGGGCCCCCCGGTAGCAGCCTTCGGGCACTCCGGTGCGCGGGCGCTGGATGACTCATAGGCCAAAAATTTGGACGTAAGAGAGAGGCCCGTTGTAGGTGGAAGTTCAGCGGGCTCCAGTGGCGACGCGGAAAGCGTTGTGAGTTTCATTCGGCCGATTTCAGCCGTGAGGAAAGGAACGGTTAGAACATGGACTTGCTCGAGGAGCTAAAGCGCTGGAATCAGCCAGAGAGGTAAGAAATCCCAACGAAGGTAAATATGCATCTTCCATAAGACGCCTTGATACACGGGAAAGAACCGTCAAGGGCCGCAAATGATCGATTTATCGATATTTCCCAATTTGAAGCTAAGGTAAGGAATCGATTAAGGTGATTGTCGCAAACACTCTGATTATCGATCTTTTTCTATAGGTTTAAATGGCGGATCAACCGATGTATCGCAAAGCACACATCGCCACTGAAATACAGATGAAATTTTGAATCGACGCATCAAAGCACATAGTTCAAATCAAAAAACAACGCCCTGGTAGCATAAAAATCTCCTCTCACCCGTCCAGTAGCCGAAAAAACAGGGGCGATGCTGCCTCCGGCAGCGTCGCCGGTCTTTCCCACGAATAATAATCAGAGTAGTATGGAAAAAACACATGGATAAACGCTAATTTAAATTAAAACACCACAAATCACATTAATTTTGAAACAACTCATCCATAAACATTGTTTAGAGGAAAAATATCAGTTGAAAACTGAGAGCACTCACGGGGTTCATCCCAGCATAAAGTTGGACTGGAATAAATGAGACATTTTACGTGAACACTGACAACACTGATGAGTGCGCTTAAACCGGCATTTTTCCTCTACTAAAGAATATTCAAGATTTTTCCTGAAAATTCGTATTTAATCAAAGTAAATTTGGCAATTGACGAAGGTTCATACGGCATTCTTCCTTAGCACGGTGGAATAACAATCAGGCAAAAAATACCGTTGATCTGCGAACTAAACTTTTGAAATATGTATCGAAATAAGAATATACACGAATTGCAAAGACTCTAAATTTTTCTCAAGGCCATACATGGATATTCGAACAAAAGTCTGCACTCATAGCTACTCTGGAACAACTAATTTTACCAGATTTTGTATGGTTACCGTCATGAAGAGGACAGTTATGCTTGAGAACCTTTCACGCATTTAAGGGAACGCCTTCAATCAATAAATATGCAACCAGAACACTTGATGAACACGAATTGTTGCATCTAGGCCTGAGCAATTTCGTCGTAATCTCGATCACCTTTGTCGATCAAAATAATGTAAACTACATATCATAACCTGTATGAAACAGAATAATATATTATACTAATTTAGTAACTAAGAGCACCATATAGCCCCAGAGGCTGATTATAATGGGAATTATGTTTTTTCAGGTTAACGTTTCGTAGGTGCAGTTTCGGTAAATTAGCTCAACCGGGCAGCGCTAAGGAGAATCTTAGGTTCAAAAACCATACTATTATTCATATTGAACAACAATAAAAAAGGTAGATGAAGAGCGATTTTTGGTCTTTGAACCACACGAAGGACAAAGGTATAAAAACTATCACTGAGGATCTATATACTTATGTATGGTCCAGAGACCGAAACTCAGTACCTAGTTCATTTTCCGATATTTGTGCTACAACATTATGGTTTAGGTATAAACCAAAGATTCTTCTCAGTATGCTTGGTTTTTGCCTTCAGCTCAGAAAAATTATTTAACACGTAGACTGCATATTTATATAAATACATCGCTTCAAGAGCTGCAGTCGTTGTAATTATAATCATTGGTTATTTCTAGATCATTGGATCATTCGGAATAGCCACGGACTACAGTATGGGTGGAAGGTATTTATAAAATCTCATTTAAGTATTTTGTAAGGTTCAATTCTTATACTGTTGAAACTTTGGATTCTGAGTGAAAAAAACCCTTTTTTTAGAAGAATAAGGATGGATACCTGCGCATAGCATGCATAAAGAGATGGTGTATAAGAAATTGATCCAAACATTCTGCTGAACGGAAATACGTGAAAATAAATTGAAATAAAGTAACTGTGTACATATGGACGTATTTCTGCCAAACGGAACTATGTGTATTAAGACATGAGCCCTGAAACCCATAAGCAAATGTGCATAACAGGGCTCACGTCATAGTGCACATAGTTCCGTTTGATAGAAATACGTCCATATGATTTTATAGTTCCTCATAAATCCCTCTGATTATATAATTTCTATGGGTCCTTTTAGCATAAATACGTCCAGTGAGTTGAAGTTTTTTTTTCTTTACTTTTGCAAAAGTCATAACTGGACGTGTTTCTATCAAACGGAACTATGTGCATTAAGACATGAGCCCTGAGACCCATAAGAATACACATATAACAGGGCTCACTTCATAATGCACATAGTTCCTTTTGATAGAAATACGTTCAACGCTCAAAAATTTTTAGTTAGTTTTCATAATAATGTGTAAACCTATCATCATAGGGTTTTCCACTTACATTGGATCGATTACTACGCGATGACGGATATGGCTGTTGGTCATTAGTATTCATTGAAAACTTTAAAAATAGAGGAAATGGGGCGACCCATTTGGACGTATTTCTACGAAACAGACCTATGTGGAGGTGAGAAATATGGGGTGTGCTCGTGGAAGCTGCATAAGAAGCAATGTAAAAGTGGGCGTGGTTCCTTTTGAAGAATTGGGAAAGCGGGATTTTACATTCTATCAAAGAGACCTATGTGGCAACTGAATGCGGGATTCATGAGCCGCAGGCATGGCAAGAGAGCCTTGTGGACAGGGCTCATGAGTTAATGACCACGACTACCGCAACCACGAGGAACGTGACGCCGGCGTCCTCCTCCGTTGACGTCACTGGCGCACAATTATTCTCATCCACTCTTACGCAAAGTGTTGAATTAAATAACAACATTGAAACTCACCAGGAACAAATTGGATTATTATTTTTTATGATCAGCACAAGTCGACAGTGTAGAGCAGACTGACAACTGAAATATATTCATCTAACCTAGAAGTCTTAATATCAGCTGTTTTTACTTTTACATTCTCCCCCCTTGAGCTTCGCTCAAAAGGGTTGTTATTAACATCGAAATATTGTAATTAGAACATCAATTTTTTTTTTTTAAAAAATGTGATAACAATCAACCAATTTTAAACTTTAAAATATTAGTTCTTGTTTTTCTTCATAATTGAGTGTATAATAAAATAGTGCATCCTAATTTTTCTTTTGGCTGTGATCTTGAAGCCATGACGCTAGGGTAAACGTTGTAATGATTCTTCTCATCTACAGGAACTTGCAGGCACTTTCGAGAAAAGTCTGAAGCGCTGCCGTTACGAAAGGAGGTTCTTTAGGGTCAAATTGAAATTCCATTAAAAAGTAGACAAATTCCAGTTTTCGTAACATCTGATGACATTTAAATATGTGATGAATTTGGAACGCATCATTTGCTGTATACTTCTCAATACTTCAAGTAAAATGAGAATTTGAATTGGACTTCGGGATCATTTTCTTTTTATGAACTTCATTATCAACAGGAAGCACTGCCTCATTAAAAACCTTAACCATATGAAAAACCATTGGATAAAAACATAGGCAAGGGAAAAAGAGTACAATGCGAAATGATCGATTTCTGATTTGTTTGATTCGTATAAGCACACAGCTTACACAGAGCACAGCTACACAGAGCTTTACACAGAGACCGTCAGTATTGCAAGTGACGTTGTGGTGTATAGTGCCATATGCCACGATTGGTAGGTAATTTTGTTTGTTAAGCTCCGTCAATTCTTTGCCGAATTTGGCTAGATTCATGATCTGTTGTTCTTCTGATATTTCATGCTTCATTATTCTTCTTCGGGCCTTCGTTGCTCTGCCTTAAGTTCAGCAAGAGATTGTTTGAAGTTTAAGGAAAGCTTGACTCTGTTCCTTATAACCAACGAACCAACGATGTCTTCTACCGTCGACATGCATCTTGTGCGCTGCTAATATCATCTCTAACTCTGTCAAGAGCTGCTTCCGCCACTTGGGCTCTTTCGAACTAGTTGGTACCTTGAAGAATGACGTCACCAAGTATCTCTGCCAAGATGTTGATTTCCTCCACAAGGATTTTCATACCTATCAGACTTCAAATATTTATGTTCTGAAGTACAGAAAGAACCGCTCACAGCAGCATTTAATTGAGTTACCTATACTCTAATCATTTGATTTGGGTACAAAATCATAACATTTTTATTCTTCTTGAATAATCATTTCCGCCGAACAAAATTGTTGCAGTGTGGGTGCACGCTGCGCTCTCTTGTGTTCGAGAAAGTTAAAGTACTCTCTGCTAGAGATACAGGAATTTAAATTTGAATATGTCTCCTTCATTTTCATCATTGTCATTCATTTCATCTGGGGTCCAGCGTAGGTCACGGAGAGTGGTGGTGGTTATCATACCGAAAAGTAGGCTATGAGCATTCAGTCAGGGTTTCATACAGAATTGCATGCATAAGATGTAGGATATACATAGGACAACACAAGATAGACAGGAGAAAATAGGACGGACAGGACAGCAGAGGATGTGGATGGGCTCGGCTTAGTTCCATTATTTTTTGCTCTTAGTTGTTAGTAGGTTACCTGAAACCAGATAACAACAGAAACAGAAAAACGAACTATTTATCTTACACATTGATATTAACTTGAGATCATAATGATATGTCTGATAATATCGGATAATTTAGTCCGTCTTGCTTCTACACTTAGTGTAAGATCTTATTCACGTTATTTCTCATCCAGAGATCTCATCTCCACAGCTAGAAATTGAAACTATGGGTAAGAATCGCTTTCAATACTACTGATCACCAATACGGGATTTTTAATACTTTTTGAGCTTTACTCAATTCGAACGTTCATCATTTTTGAACATTCGATCCATAAGGATCTGCATTCTTATTATGTAAACCACTGAACTCATTTGTCAACACTTCTCTTTTATCTCCTCATTTCCGCAGTATTTATTAGTCTCCCACAGTCTTTCAGCTTTTTATTTAATTTCTAAATATTTCTTTAAATGTCTTTACTTTTCCTTATAATGAATTCCTCAAATCTTTCATCTCCATTCAAGAGGGTTATTAAAAATATAAATACATCATACATTTTGGATGATTTCCTTCCGCACCAAAAAGCAAATTCCAATTTTTGGATATGCGATTTCTAAGTAGAGCGCTATTAAATCGGTTTTTATGTATGGTATAATAATTTACTGAGGAATCATGAATATCATATAAATTAAATTATTAAATTAATTATTATTTACACCATAATTAATTAATTAAACCATTAATTAATTATTTTATTTCTCCATTGTGCTCATTCTCTCTTCTTTACATGAGCAAATTGAAAATGATACAAAACTTTGTCAGGGCTAGGGACATTGTCACCCAATGCAGAGTTATTGTTGAGTCAGGAGTTTATCTCCTCAGGATTCCACACATTTTTCTCTAGGTGCTTTAATGCAACTGTTACTTTTAAATATTCAAAAATCAAGTTGGTACAACTGGTATACTGGGCTTTTATTTTACTTATCTCAGGTGAGCTTGTTTCGGAAGTTGTTTCCATAGAGATCACAAATCTGGACAGTTGATATTCCATGTTTTCCCTTCGCATTTTCAACTCCTCTGTAGCTTCTTTTTTTTTAAAGGTTTCTGCTTCATTTGCGCTGGGTTTTGCTTGACTAGTAAATCCTCCTTTCCTCATATTTACTGTAGTATCATGTATTTTATTTCATTGTTATACCTCTGCTCACTTTTTTTTTTCTCGATCCTATGACTCATATCAGTCTCGGATCATAACCTTATTTTCTGCTCACTTAGGTTATACTTTTTCTTCTCACTTAGGTCTCATTTTATTGTTAGATTGGAGTTAAGATTAGTACGGCAAAAGCTCATTCATATATTAGAGACACGGAGAGCAAAAGCTCACTGCATGTCAAAAAACAATGGGAAACGGAGAGCGAAAGCTCACTGCATTTTTATGCTTTTAATTTACTTGGCTAAAAGCCGTCACCAGGCCTGGATTTTTATATCATTTTTATTTTTATTTTTATTCAGCTGAAGGGCGGGTGTGAAGAGCAATGTTAGATCTCATGGCACACCCGTACCAATGGAAGGCGAGGCTTCTGCATTGGTACAAGAGAGGGAGAGCAAAAGCTCACTGCATCCCTTTTTGAGATGGAGAGCAAAAGCTCACTGCATCTCCTCTTGAGATGGAGAGCAAAAGCTCACTGCATCCCTTTTTGAGATGGAGAGCAAAAGCTCACTGCATCTCCTCTTGAGATGGAGAGCAAAAGCTCACTGCATCTCCTCCCGAGATGGAGAGCAAAAGCTCACTGCATCTCTTCTTGAGACGGAGAGCAAAAGCTCACTGCATCTCCAACCTTTATAATATATGTTAGAAGTAACGGAAGGCAAAAGCCTACTGCATTACTTTTCGAGACGGAGAGCAAAAGCTCACTGCATCTCTTTTATAATCACGTCGGGGTCACCAAAATGTTGAATTAAATAACAACATTGAAACTCACCAGGAACAAATTGGATTATTATTTTTTATGATCAGCACAAGTCGACAGTGTAGAGCAGACTGACAACTGAAATATATTCATCTAACCTAGAAGTCTTAATATCAGCTGTTTTTACTTTTACACAAAGAGAACGAACGAGCACACCCCATATTTCTCACTTTCACATAGGTCTGTTTGGTAGAAATACGTCCATTTGATCGAAAGAAAGCCGCGATTTCTTTTTAAGTAGTTTATACTGGGGAGAAAAAAACACATTGGATCTAGAGTCCAGACTCTTAAAAACATCGACAAGAAAAAGTACTCTTGACTCAATCAGAATCTAGCTTAAATCAAGAGCCAAGCCTCTTAATTCAAGCGGATTTCGTTTTGATTCGGGCAAAAATCCGATTGAATCAAGAGTATTTTTTCTTGTCAATGTTTTCAAGAGTCTGGACTCTACATCCAATGTGCTTTTTTTCCAGTGTAAGCAATATAAACTTGAGGAAAAGGTTTGATTGACAGGCTATCAGGGTGTTCGCAACGAATACTAGCATTATTGATTCTTTAGGTACCATAGCTTGAAATGGGAAAATATCAATGGTCGATGATTCATATGACGCTGGTTATGATCAGCAAAACATCCTGATTGCCGCGGTGCGAAACTACGTATCTTCATTCCGGTGTTTCAAAATCTCCGCTCCTAGTTAATTTTTTCGAAGAGGAACAAGTCAACTTTACAGCTTGAAAGTTATACAGAATATTCTCCTGACACAGAAGAAAAATCAAGGAAGATTTCAAGAAATTATGCGTTGATTAGTTTTCCAAGGAAGAAATAAAGTATGAATCAACACGTGGTCTCGCATTTTAGCCATCAATATAATTAAACGATCATTTATTCTTTTTCTTCTCTTTTCCTGTCGAGTAAATTTCTCTAAAGTTTGTTTCGCGTCTTCTTCAATCCTTTGGAAAGTGTCTCCTTTGAGTTGTTGACTATTTTTCTCGACAGTTTTGATTCTTCCTTCTTCTTTTCTTTCAGGGTCACCTCCTCCTTAAAAAAAATACATGCGGCGTGGGTATCTACAGTTTCGCCATCAAACTGTAACTGCCTGTGGCATCTTCACAAACAGGAAAGCGAAGATAACATCGTTTAATAACTTGGATCCAGTAGAAAGAGTCACTAATTTATAGGTATATCTTTGAATATTAGTGCACAGTGAGAAATTGGACCACCTTTTGCAATGTGGAACCATTGTTTCTCATCTTGAAAATGAAATAATTATGCGCCGTTACTCTCTCTATACAGATAAGTATATGCATCTGCGTAAATAAAAGTTTGGTTTCCACATATTACCTTTGTTCACTGCGCACCTTTGTCATTTTATTTCAAATGGTCCCCATCAAGTTTTCATCGCTGGAAGAAATACACATTGGATGTAGAGTCCAGACTCTTGAAAACATTGACAAGAAAAAAAACTCTTGATTCAATCAGATTTTTGCTGAAATCAAAAGGAAATCCGCTCAAATTTAGAGGCTTGGTTCTTGATTTAAGCAAAAATCCGATTGAATCAAGAATATTTTTCTGTGGATGTTTTCAAGAGTCTGGACTCTAGATCCAATGTGTTTTTTTTCCAGTGTAGTGCTTGAAGTGGTAGGAGCTGAAAAGGTTCTCGGAAAATTTGAATAAACTCGAAGACAGTTAAAAGAGGATATATTAGATATTTTTCGTGTTGTGGACCCTCACGCTTACTCTGCCGTGCTAAGGAAGAACGCCGTATGAACCTTCAGGCGTTGCCAAATTGTCTATGATAAAACACGAATTTCCTCTTCTGCTCATGAAAAGTCTTCCAATTTTTCAGATAATTATGCTCGCAATTCTACCGAAAACTCCTCAAAATTTCACGAGAAAATATGCATATCCCTCCTAAAAAATGAACATTTCATCGAAGTAAATTTGGCAACTCTCGGATGTTCATACGACGTTCTTCCTTAGCACGGCAGTACTGATGTACCATCAGTTTTCCTATGCAGATAGGTGCATTTACGGGCGAGTCGGTGGAAGTAGTTCCGTATGGAAAAAATTAGTCAATTTTTCAGTCACTTTCCAGACGGAAAAACCTTCCCTTTCGCTTTGGCAAAAGTTTGCAACGGACTCACTGAATTTCAGACATTACCCTTTGATAAACCGCACTCTCATTATCGCATTCATAACTTGATATGTTTGCGGGTTGGGTGCCCTTGAAAGGCGAGACATAGTCCGGCGCGGCGCACAGTCGACTTAAAGGAGACTCATCAATTTTTTGTCACTTAATGTTTTCTTCGGTTCTCTTTTTTACCAAGTTTTCACCTTTCGAGTAAACAATGCAACTTTGGAAAATTTGAAAAATATATCATTGGATACGAAAGACGCTACACGACCACGACATTGCTTGAAAAGATAACACGCTTTTTCATTTTCACTGAGAATTGTAAACTGATTGAGCACAGGCGGGCATAGAACGTAAGAAAGAAATGAAAGATTGGAAATTTCAGTGAAATGTTTCATGAAAATTCACGAGGCTGTGAAATATTTCATGTTTTTTAGGGGCTAGAGAATACAAACCACACTTAAACACACAAAAATAGAAAAAAAGTCACAGATTTCACATTTTGCAAAACATGAAAAGGAACCGATATTTTTCAATATCTCTCAAAAATTCTTGAAATTTCATGAAATTTCACGAGGCTGTGAAATAATTCATGTTTTTCAGGGACTAGAGAATACAACACACACTTAAACACACAAGCTAGAAGAAAATCACAGTTTTTGCATTTTGCAAAAGATGAAAAGGATCCGATATTTTTCAATATCTCTCAAAAATTCCTGAAATTTCATGAAATTTCACGAGGCTGTGAAATAATTCATGTTTTTCAGGGGCTAGAGAATACAACCCACACTTAAACATCCAAAAATAGAAGAAAGTCACAGTTTTTACATTTTGCAAAACATGAAAAGGAACCGATATTTTTCAATATCTTTCAAAAATTCCTGAAATTTCATGAAATAATTCACGTAAAATATCAAGATTTTATATTTCATGAAATTTTGCCGCCCTGAGTGAGCAATTAAACACAGGTGAGGAGAAAACTGACGTTTTTTGCATTAGCGCATTCGTTGATTTTACGAGTGAGTAAATATCACGTTAGTCGTTTGTATGTTCAGGCTATGGATTCGATTGCCATGAATGATCGGAAAGCAAAACCTGAACGGATCAACACCGATTCAATCTACAGTATTTAATTAAAAAAACTGGTATCGATTCGAACGACACGAATAGGTTTAAAAACAATCATTGATCAGATTGACGCGATTCGATCGACATCAGTGAATCTATCGACATGACTATGAATAGATCGACATGACCATAAATCGATCGACAAGCCCATGAATCGACCGACAAGACCCATCAACTTTTTTTTCCAGACAGTTTTTTTTTTTTCTCTCTCTTTTACGCTTCCTTATTCTCATGAAATCATTTTGATTCCGAAGAAAACCGAAGTTTTCGTATACGACGAAACAATTTTTGAGCGGACCCATAAAACTCTGAATTAAATAATCAACGAATTCAAATCAATTTAATGAAAAAAAATTTGCAATTGTTTTTAAAACTTGTTTTTTTATTTAAATAAAATTTTCCTAAAATCAGGGGAAACAATCTTTAGAACAAAATAACTTTTCTTAAATAAAATCATTCTCAATCTTTCCCGATAGAGAGATGAATGACTTAAAATCAAATTAATTAAAGAAAATCCTAAAATTTAATTTTTTCTATTTAAATACTTTTTTTCTTGAGAATGGGAGAAAAATTCTTTAGAACATGAAAAACTTACTGAAGAAAAGTTTTTTATGCTCTAAAGAATTTTTTCCCCATTTTCAAGAAGAAAGTATTTAAATAGAAAAACAATTAAATGTTAGGATTTTCTTTAATTAATTTGATTTTAACTCGTGCATTCTTTTATCGAGAAAGATTGAGAGGGATTTTATTTTAGAAAAGTTATTTTTGTTCTAAAGATGATTTCCTCTGATTGAAGGAAAATTTTATTTATACAAAGAACATGTTTTAAAAACTTGGATTTTTTTCCAAAACCAAAACAAACATTATTTTGAAACTTAGATGATCGTTTGTAAGCCTTTTTGCTTCAGTGCGGATCTGCTCATTGGCTAAACAGATTTTTACTTCGGTGACGGTGAGTCAAGTTACCGCGGAACTTTACCACTGTGCGCGACTGTGGCGCCGCGACCGCCACGCGTAGGACGTCCCTACCTGGCGTTCTCACCTGAATTATATCTCCTCTCCCCCTCCCCTTCCCTCTCCCTCTCCATCCCATTATCAGTCATCCTCTCCTATTTCCATCTTCTCTCAACAGATAGAGCTGCACTCTCACCAGTTATCCAAGTTTCTTTAATCGAAATTTCCAGCAGTTTCAGATAAAAACCCGCACAAAAATTTATACCTTCTAACAGGTGAATATTTTCGGCGCAATTTTCAAATTGAAATTTTTGTTTGCGCCTGGTATAAATTAAATACTGCATCGCTGTGAAGTGCCCTGTCGCATGGAAATTGATCGAGTTCTTATTGACCGGACCCCTTGAACGGCAAACAGTCGGCATCGCTTCTCGGCCTTAATGGCTAAGATCAAAGTGTAGTATCTGTTCTTATCAGCTTAATATCTGATACGACCCGCACTGCGGGTCCAGTATATTAAACTTACATTTAGAAACAGGCGGAGTGTCAGGGGCTTGCTCCACCTCTGCCACGGATCGGCCCGGTATTGCAGTACCGCCGGGATCGGTCCAATAATTACATCATTTTTCCCATTAGATGCAAAAGTAACGTAGCATCACCGAGTTTTTTTTCAAAAGCGCGTATCTCCATCTGCGATAATTTACCCGCCAAATGACGCGGTTGTACATTCTTTACAAGTAAATAAAAAAAAAATCTACGATAATGCAAGTTTCCTGTCATGGAGTATTTTTTTAACTTTGATTTAAAATTCCCCTTCTTTACAGTACAAAGCATTAACACTTTTTTTTAAATGGAAATACGGATCGCATTTAGTAAAAAGGAACCAGTCCGATTAAAGTGTTGTAAACATGTTGTTTCTTCATAATTATCTAAAAATTCTCCCAGAGCGACGAGTAGTTTTGGCTTCCCACCAAAAAATTGTCGATTTTAAAGGAAAATAATCGAGTAAATTTTAATACTGTACATATATTAAGTATTTTTAAAAGAAAGGGAGAAGTTTCATCATTTTGAAAACACTGTAATTGAGCTTATTCCTTTTTTCTAAATGCGATCCATTCAACGGCATTTTTGAGACCTTCCCCGATTTTTCTTCTTCACGCGAATAATTAATATTTTGTGAAAATTCTAAATAAAAATGTTTAATTATTCTCGCCATCGGGGGAATAAAATGGAAGTGGCGATATTTTGAAATGCTTCAAACGAAATGTCCGTTTTGTGGTGTTTCATCGTCGATATCGTGTAGCGATATTCGATATATAGTGGCATTCGATATATAGTATCAATGGATAGTCGATACTCGATATAGCGATGGTAGGTATAGTGAAATAAAGTGACGACGTCTATACCGAGCATTGGTCACTTGGTCAGAGGTGGTTAAGTTTGAAAAAAAATAGAACTTATCAAAGGCGTGACCACATGTTTTTACAGAAGAGAACAACGAAAATAATTTACAACTTCTCCTTTATTGCGTTTATTTTGTACGAGAACATTTTTAATTTTTCTCACACTGGATTCAACGAGGAGATCAGTGCTTCCATCTAACAGTAGTGGCGTAGCACACTTTGCGATATATCGACGGTGAAACTACCAAACCACGTATCTCGGTTTGCGACGTCGCAGACTTCCTGTCATACTTTATTTTTTAAATGAAAAACTAATTAACGTCCAGTCTTGAAAATTTCTGCGATTTTTCCTCCTCGTGCGGAGAAAATTCTGTGAAAATTTCAAGGAATGATATTGATTTGGTCTCCTTCAAAAAAAATGAAATGTGAGCGTAGATTTTTAAACACCGCAAACGAGATACGTGGTTTGGTAGTTTCACCGTCGATATCGAGTGATCTACCATTTAAACCTATGGAAAAGGATCGATAGACAGGGTGTTCGCAACAAACACCTTAATAATCGATTCTTTACCATAACTTCAAATGGGGAAATATCGATAATCGACCATTCACGCCTCGCCACTGTATAGCAGACATCAAGCAGTGTCGCAAACACTTTATAATAAGCTTCATAAATACAAGTTAGTGTATGACACAGGTTCCTGAAACGAAAATTCTATGATTACAAAGTAAGTACGTTGAACTAGTATTTTTCGTCCAAAGTTCATTTCATACTTTTTTGGCGTAACTTTTAACTGTCAAAGTATCCGAAGAGGATTTCCTAAGACAGAATGTTTAACAGTTTTTAAAAGTCTTTGAATCTGTGACGGTCTTTGTTACTATGGTCCGGTTGGTTTCCGCGAGCCCAAAGACGCCCACGAAAAACTTAAAACTTATGAATGAATGAGTGGCACGGACATAGCAATTAGTACTCTCCCTATGCACTTGTAGTTAGGTACTACTGCCGTGATAGCGAAGAGAGCAGTAAGTGTTAAATTTTCGAAATCGAGTTTCCTTCAAATTCGTTAAATCTCCTTTCGGTGAAATCGCTAACAGCTAAAACAGCAAAATTCATCTTAATTGTATAACAATGAGACTTACAAGAAAGCCGTGACATAGTTTCAGGCAAGATAGCCGTAAGTGACATTATTCCTCCAGAGAGCCAATGCAAACAGTGCTTCCAGGTAAAGTGCCACTCTCTTCTGCCAATTTCTAAACTGAAGATGTGTTCGTTGTGTGTCCAAAATGCGGCCACAAAAGCACGCAGAAGATAGCACTTACGGCTGTCTTGCCTAACACTAGCTTAACATGAAAATGAAATATACCCTTTTTATGTGATTGAAAAAAAATCGGTCGATTTTTAATAATCCAAACAATTTCTATGAGTCTCCCGGGTGATTAGTGGCAATTTGACAAAGAACAGAGGCTTCTTTCAATAGAATTTTCCGAGTCCGTTTTCTCAAAGCTTCCCTTTTGCAGTTACACAAGAAAATTAAAGGTGCTTGGCTCAAGCATGATACTTCTTGAATTTTCCGACAAGAATTTGTTTTATCTTGATTTAAGCTGATTTTTCTCTTGATACAAGCAAAATAACGCTTTCGTTAAGCGAAAAAGTAGCTTCTGTTAAACAGCAAAATTCTTGATTTAAGAAACAATACTTCTCGGCGGCAAATTTAAGATTCTTTTTTTTTCAGTGTGCTGCTCTCTTCGCTATCACGGCAGCAAAACTTGCTCAATTGGACTGCATTTTGCAATTTGGAACTGTAAAGTCTGGCCCGGTTTAAAAACAACGTAAGTGCTATTAGTTTCCCCATGTACATAAGTGTTTTTCCAGAAGAGCCAGAATTTATAGTTTCAAATTGCAAAATGTTGTCCATTTAATGAACATGTGAAGAAAGAGAGGAGATTAGTTGGATCATACGTACATAATTGTTTCATATTTTTAAACGTAAATAATCCATACAGAGTGCACAGACATTTCAAAATCGTAAGTTTAAATATTAGAGCCGAACACAGTGCGGCTAGCGCGGAACGCCTACTAGCGCCTACAAGACTGCATGGATACTTCACGCACTGCGCGAACGGACCGTGATTTACGTGCAATACGTGAAGTATCCACCGTGGTGTGCGCGCATTGCATGAAGTATCCATGCAGTCTTGTAGGCGCGCGCCACGCATTTCGCGCTCGCCGATCTGTGCTCGACACTATTATTCAAACTCGCGGAGTCAGCGTTTTTCAACTCATGATTTTGAAATTTGGGTACACTCAGCATGGATTATTCCTGTTCATAAAGATTGAAAAAAAATTATGTACTACAGGAAAATATACTTTGCGTTTTGAAAATATCAAGGTGGCTCCGTGCCAAAAATGATCGTCTAAACACAGAGTTTTTTCCAAAAATGATCGTCCAAACACAGAGTTTTTTCTTTTATATTTCGTGAGATTTACTGTAGCAAATCATTTAAAGCACTCGTAAGAATTCATATCTAAAAATATTTGTACTGCTGAATTTCAGCCATGGTGGAATCTGTTACAACCCCCATATCTTTTCATAGCTTAAGTACAATGTGCTTATTTTAGGCTTCTAGATTCTTAGACTTGCAAAATGCAGTCCAATCGATACTTCTTCTTGCTTGCTGAACTTGCTACTTCCACTGCTTCCGCTCGCCCTCGCTTTACTTAGCGTAGTCAACCTGGGGGTTCTTTCCAGCAGCGCTGAATTCGAACGCATATCCTGACCCGAAGGAATGGGGCCCCTTGTGGACATCCTCGTCGCTCTCAGCCTGCTCGCGGAACTGTGCCGCCCCTCCAGGAACTCCGCCGACGACGCCAAGCCCGGCGACATGCGCCCCTCCCGTCGAGGGCAGCTCCTGGCTGGAGTCCTCGTAGATCTTGTAGGGGGCGCGGTGTTGGGGCTGCGCCGCCCGGAAGACGGTCAGGGGCGCGGACGGGGGAGGCGCCCCTCCGGCCAAGGGGCGCGGGTACAGCTCCCCGCTGTCCAGGTTCGAGCTGCTCGCGAACGGGAAGTTGGGTCGGGCGACGAAGGACGCCGATCGCTGACCTCCGTGACCTTCCTCCGCTGAGTGGTATGGACTTGATGGCAGGGCTGACGTCACCTGCAACCATAAACAAGAGAGTTTGTTGTAGTAGGGAGAATATGGCAACTTGACTCGATAAAAAATCCAACAGTGTTGCACGATGGTGCAGGAAAATACGAATTAAATTACAGTGTTGTATGGGGATTATTATTCAATATGGCAACGTTGTAAAAGTAAAAGTATTGCATGTTGCCCCTTCAATATGCAGGTTATGCAATGGTGTAATGTAGCCCCTTCAATCTGCGGTTTATGCAATGGTGTATTTTTCAAGATGGCGCAGCAGCGTTGTCGCACGATGCACTTAAATAAATGATTTATTTATTGGTGAAATTTTGCAACATCGCATTTTACAGTGTTGCCAGATGGGGCAAGAAATTAGTTAATTTGATTTATAGAATATCTCATCAGCTTTATTCATGGCCTTAATAAGTCGGGGAGTCGGAATTACATGTTCGACCACTGCCTTCGAATCGATGCTACATATAACATCCAAGCGATGTACTAATTCACAATTATTCAGGATAGCGTCAAGATTTTGTAATGCCAACTGATTTGGGCTGATCAATATAACGTGTTTGGACGAGAATAGGTTGATAAATCTGGTAAACATCGGAGATATTACACTTGCACTTTTTGTTTTCTCGATGACGACTAAAATAAGTGTGTTTAATGATGAATGGATTCGGTCAGAATTAAACACATACTCGGAAATCTCTACTTCATCCCCATGGGCTAAGAACCAATTATCAACGCATGCTGCGTCGCAAGTGAACTGAAGAGTTTCCAAAGCTTGACACGCGCGTATGAATCGATTGGTAATTGTCGTAAAACGACGAGTGATGCGGCGTGGAAAATCTAGATTCCAAAATCCTGGCGTCAGTTCCAAACATAGGATTTCGATTTTGCTCTCGGACCGCCTTGGTACGGTGCCGAGTGTACCGTGCAGCCACCATCGGCTAATAAAGTAGAGATTAATGCCAATTATAAGATACTTCAACTCTCGCAAATAGATACCACGCACGAATAATTGTGAGATATCCAGTTGTACGTTTGAAAAAAATAAGGCGATTGTTTGAGAATGAATTAATTCTAAAATTGGCTTGAAATCAAGGATAATAGTTCTTAATCGTAAAGCGATAATGTCTGGACTAATAACCACCACCGTGAATTTTTTCAGTCGTATGTTTGACTAATTATTTTCGACAAGGTGATCTGCGACTTGAAGGATACTCTCACGATAATTGGCATCGCCATCTCGATGTTTTAACCCGTATTTTAACTCGAGCTCGTTTCCGGCGACTTTCCACAATTTTAAGTTTATCGAGTGGATGTTTTGCGTGATCCGGCGTCCTGATTGTGTCAAGGCTTAAGGTATGATTAGCCATCAAATTTTTCGGAATCGAGTAATCACCATGATCGGAACGATACTCAAACGAGATGAATTCGATCACCGCACTTTCCACGGAAAAACCGAGATATGAGTGCGAAGAATCCGTCGACCAGAATTTTGTCACAATACATCCCAAATGAAAAACTACCTTGACCGTTGAGGAAGGTAATTTTAATTTAACAAGATGCTCCCGGTGAATCGGCTTGTAATTAGAGGTGAGTAATTTGGCACGAAGCGGAAATGAGTTCCATGTGCGGACGGGCAACAGTTGACTGGAGATCTGAAGACAAACGAGATCTGTAAACGTTTGTCAATCGATCTCCCGAGGGAAAACAGGAACTTTCAAGTTCAATCACTTAAAACCAGACCCAGTCCTCTCTCTCTCTTCTTCGTATCCGCTTTTATCAGGTTTTGCTGCACACGATGGTCGGCTGAAAACCAATTAGTTTCGTCAATGACATCACGGAAATAACGACACGTGAGTCGAGCGCATCCTACATATCCGATCAGATTGAAAATAGTTTGCAGTATATGCGGGGGTAAGTCCATAATGTTAAGCGAATCGCTGCGCTCCATTTATTCTCTTACCTGCAACTTTTTTTAAAACTACCCCTTTTCACTCTCTAACAGGTAATCCGGTATGGTATGAGATCTTGCACGTGTCACAATATTCTTGATTCTCATCGTTGTTGTCATCGGTAGGTGATGAGGTGTCCTTCATGGTGGACATCTTTTCAATGTGTTCGGGAGATTGCTCATGATTCTCTCCCTCCGCATAAAACTCATCACAAAGATCACAATGGATGAGCGCGCTGTGCTCCTGTTTAATATGCGTTTCATCGTTGATACCCTCCTCCTTCTTAATTAGTTCCGCACAGTGTTCGTGCTTTTCACCTTGTTTATAAAATTCATCACAAATATCACATTGGATGAAAGTTTCAACAATCTGTTGTGTTTGTTCTTGAGCAGCCATGATAAAGATACTATTTTAAGCTCTACGTTTTCCGAGTCGGTAAGAAAAGGAAATCTACACTATCTTAACGTTTGCTAGATTCTGTTCATTAAGAAAAGTTCATAGCGAACAACTGATACTACTTTAAGCTCGGGGTTTTCTGAGTTTGTCACAACAGAAAATCTGTACTAGCTTTACGTTTGCTAGATTCTGTTCATTGAGAAAATTTCAGAGCGAACAAGTGATACTATTTTAAGGTGAATCTCTAGCGATTTAGGGACAGAAACCGCCACCACGTCGCGCTGCTACGTGAGCGAGTCTTTGAGAGTGAATAATTAACTAAGACTTGAAATTCATGCAAAAAATCGACCGAATACGCGTAGCAGCATACATTCTGAGTAGAATGATACCAAATTTGTGGGTATTATTTGCAAAAATATACCCGAATTTATGCAGACCGATTTCTTTATGGGCGGCTCAATGTGTAAGAGAGAGATAGCATGCTGTGACGTTTGTTTACATCTGGTCGCTTCCCTCCCCCCCCTTGAGGAAAGTAAGGAAGTTCGGCCGGCGATGGATGAAATTCCTTT